TAAAAATACTCCAACTTCAAGAAAATCATTCTTCATTGATAAAAAGATATATTTCTTTCTTTTGATGCAAGATAAGAATATCCAAAAATGGTGTTTGACAAATCTTCTTATTTTTTGGATCAATAAGTGATCTTAAAATCAAACCTTGATAAAGACAAGCTCTAATAGGCTTGGCAATTATTCAAAACACATGCTCATATGTGGTATTTGAGGTCCATGTAACTAATATATATATATATATATATATATATATATATATACATATAGTGATTGAATTGAAACTACCTTTTGGATAGTAGTGTCATTCTTAAAGTAAATCCATAATTGTAAGAAGTCCTAAGTCATAGATCTTTTAGTTAATTTGAGCTGCTAAAAATTTCCTAGGATAGAAAACTATTAAATAGATCTTGTCATCTACTTCTATTTGTGATAAAATTACACTAATAAAAAAGTTTGATGCATTTATTTCCATAAAGAATGCCTTGAAAAAATTGATACAATACAAGATTGATGTCGAAATAGATGATGTGTTAAAGGCTTCAAAAGATGCTTCAACTTTTTTGCTCCACTTAAGTTTGTCTTAACAAGTCAAATGTATAAGAAGAGCTACAACTTAAAAAAAGTTTTTGTTGAAGATTCAATAATAATTGACAGATTCTAAAAAGCATTCAACATCCGTAACTATTTTTGAGGTCTTTTATTCTATGATAGTCTTGACTTTCTTAAGATCCATTATTAGGCCATCATTTGAAATGATATATTCTAAAAAATCAACTTAAATAGTGTGAAATATCCACTTTTTCATCTCGATATATAATCATGCATTATTTAGGTTTTATAATATATAACAAAAATAGAATTCAGGCTTTTATGTATTCTTAGAATAAATTAAGATGTCATCCAAATAATAGATGATAAAGTCATTAAAAAACTCATAAAAGATATCATTCATTATATATTAAAAAATAACTTATATATTTGTGAATCCAAAAAGCATGATACTATATTCAAAATATCTATATTTAATTCAAAATACAATCTTCTATTCATTTCTTTCTTTGATACATATGAAATTATATGTTCCTTGTAGATTTATTTTGATATAAATCTTTACTTGATTGAATTGATCAAGAAGTCCTAAAATCAAAGATAGAAGATACTTATTTTTTATTATGAACTTGTTGAGTCTTCAATAGTCTACACACATATACAAAGATCCATCTTTTTTCTTCACAAATAAGATAGGAGCGTCTATTGGAGATTTTAAATAGCATATGAAGTTCATAGCCAAATTTTCATGAATATATTCCTTAAATATAGCCAACTTAGTTTGTAATAGACTATAGATTAGTCCAAATGGTGATTGAGTTCATTCTTCAAGATCAATGGAGCAATCATACTGATAATGCTTTACAAGAATATCTAGATTCTTCTTCTCAAAAATTTCTTAATAATCTCAATATTAGCTTGGAATGCCATTTGAAAGCTTTTTTCCATCAAAAATAGATGTGGCATATATAACAAAAGTTGACATTTTTTTTGTAGCATGTATAAAAGTTCTTGCACCTACCAATAAAGATTTGGATGTATCAGATTTATAGATTTCTATTTGACTAGCAAAATCTTAAGCTAAACTACAAGAAAAATCAAGGTTATGAAAAATTCATTCTATTTGAAGATTATAATTTTTCAACCATGATAATCCTAAAATAATAAGATTAAAAAAAAATCTAATTATGTTAAATATTACCAAGATATTATGACTACTAATTGGTACATCTATACAAATAGTTTTATGGATGACATCTTCAAAAGATAACAAACAATCATCTATTACTTCTACATGCACAACTTTGAATTTTTTTTAACTAACAATATATATATTTTTTTTTTCACAAAGTCTTTGTTTATAAAACAAGTTGAGGTTCTTAAATCTAATAAGGCTAAGACCATGTGATTTTTTTGTCTTAAATAAATTTCTACTATAAAATAAGATGAAGGATCTAAGAAGAAGATAAGACCTTTATTAGGTGTTGCATAAGTTTCAAGTTGCATGGTTCCTATTGTAGCTAAAAAAACTTGTTTTCTAATATATTGTCTTCCTTAGTAATTATGCTCTTCATTTTGTTGTTGCATTGCTACTTTGGTCAATGTTAAGTAGTATACTTAGATTTTTTATAATATAGACACAAGCCTTTTGGACAGTGATAAATTTTTTCTTACTCAATAAGAGATCTGAAACGTACCATGTCAATTTACATAGGTTTTGATCTTAATGAATAAGCTTTTGTGAACTTAGAAGTTTTCACTATGACTTTACTTATACCTCTTTAATCAAATCTTTGTTTTTAGTATCTTTTAAAGATTCTATTGTTGCATAAAAAGGATTCAATAATAAATAGCTCCAATAAGTTTGTTCTTGGCATTGTCATCACTAAATCTTTGATGTTATCTTTTGATTTATACCAAAATTGATTGATAAGGGCTTTACCATTCTAATCTATGTTACAAGTAAGGTTTTGAAATTCAATAACATTTGTGGTGGCTAAAATGTAATCCTTGTTGTAAAGATATTAATTTGATTTGTGCAACTTTTTTTTGATCACTTTCTCTAAATGTGGCCATAAAGTCTTTTAAGAATGAATTTAAATCATACAATAATTGTGAATCATTTTCTATCAAAGATAAAAAATCATGAAAAGATACTTCTAAATAAAAGTTTATATATGAATCTAACTTGAATAAATCCATTAAAGTATTAAAAAAGTTGCAACCTTAGATAGAACTTTATTTATTGTAAAAATCCTCGAAACTTTGATCTTGTTCCATCAAATTTCTTTGACATAATTATTCTTGCTTTTTTCATGCTTGTAGTGGCAAGAATCTTCAAATTCAATTGTGAACTTGATTTACTTGCTACTCTTAACTATATAACTTCTTAGTATAAACTTTGAACTTCATTGTTGACTTCTTCCATAGATGTAAGAATATTACATTTATAATTGACATTGAAATAAATAAAATTTCTACCCTAAGAATATTAACAAACTTGTGCAAATCTGCAAAGGTTGCAAATCTATTTTCTTTTTTGCAAAGAGTAGCATCTTTAATTTTTCCTTCAATAAATAACGCAAATAAATCCAAAAGACAAATTAAAGGAGAATAATTCACAACTTCTAATATTAAATAAAAATTTCTACAAATAGAGATAACTCACTCACTTTAAAAAAAAATTGCATTAGAAATCTAAATATTAGTTCAAAAGTTGATAGTCCACTACTTTTGAAATACAACAGTAGGAGTGGAGTAATTCATTTACTTCTAAAAATAATATAAGAACACTAAGTTAGGACTCTTGTTTAACTATCAAGGATATGAATCTTGAAAAATCAAAAATTCAATACACTTGTATAACTCCAAAATAATAGATATTTACTCAAAATTAAATTTAGTATTGAAATTAGATTAACTATTGCCAAAAATAAGAAAATTAAAAAGTCTTCAAATAAGACTAAGGATTAGAAAGGCATTGACAAGAGTAAATAAGGCTTTATTGTTGCCTCCAATATACAATATCTAACTAAAAGCTATATGCCAATGTTCTATAGTTCCACAAGTTACAAGTAGGTGTGCCACCTAGCTAACTTATTGGCCAAATTTTTAACCTACCAATCAACTATAAATATGTCTAAAGTCAAATACATGTCTATGAAGCTTTTGAAAAGCTTTAGAATAAGATAATATTAAATCTACCTATATTTATTTTCTATCTAACATTTCTTATCTAAGTAAATATGTATGTCTATAATAAAGTGAAAGAGAGAACGAGAGCAAAGAAGATAAAGAAAGAGAAGAAGAAAGCAAAGAAGGTAGTCGAAGTAAATAAGAAGAGAAAGAAGAACAAAGTTGGAGGAGAAGTTTAAGACTCATGGCAAGACAAGGATGTAGAAGATGAGGTTTGGAACTTACAATGGGACTAAAACTTATACCAAGATAAAGAAGAAAAAGATGAGGTTCAATATCTGCACTAAGACAAGGAAGAAATGGAGGAGGTCTATGATTTAATAAAGAATGAGTTGCAATAAGAGCCATAAGTGGTCAATTGTTGATGAATTTAGTAAACTAGCCAAGTAGAGGTTTCTATTTTTTTGGATGTGTATACTACAATTTGAGACATGTGTGTAGCAAATTGAGGTGTCCATGTGGCTTGAGCCAAAACATAAGTATAATAATAAAAATAAAAATCAAATAAATAACTTATAAAATATTAAATCTATATAAATAAATGATAAGGTTTTTTAGTATCATAAGGATATTTTTTGCAAAATAAGAAATTATTTCAAAAAAAACAATGATACTTTGCTACAATTAAATGATCTCTTTATTAGAAAACAATAAGGCTTATGAGATCTCCTGCAATAAAACATTAAGCCTTTAAGATTCTATACATAATACTAAAGTAGAAACCATGATAAGTCTTTGAGACCTCTTATAAGACACAATATTAAAAACAATAAAAATACTTCAATTAATAAAATTACACAACTTCCTCTCCTTTTCTTTTTTACATAACTTCTCTTTGTTAGTTCAAACTATATTATTTTAATCCTAAAATTAACTAAAATTATGCATGGCATTGATTAAGACAAGTCAAATAGATCGTTAATAAAAATATCAAGGGAGTATATTTTTGGACATAAATAATGCACCCTCCATAGAATAATACAATTAGAGCAACCTGAATGGAATAAGGTAATGCACATCAATCCAAGTGAGGTAGGTTGCTAGGAGGTACTCCACCACACTTGCCCATTTAGATGAAAGCCCAACAAGCTAATTGCAATCTAATCCAATCTGAACATAGTTTTGAAGGACCAAATAATAATAAAGATATTTTATTATTATTGGGGCTATAACCGGAAGTTTTAGGGTTACGAAAATGGGATGCGAGACAGGGAAGAAGGGTGAAAATCGTGCTCACGTGGTGGAGTTGGTGTGTTTTTCGACGATCGCTTTTCCTTGTTTACTTTATTTTTTTTGTTTGTTTGTTTGTTTGTTTTCTTTTTTATTTAGTCCTGTTCTCATTGTCGTTGTTTTTCCGAGGATTCACCGATGTGGGTCATGGAGGAAAAGGGGCTTTGGGCATGCACGTTTCTTACGCACGCACGGTGAGAGATGGAGTTGCTGCCACTTCCTCCTGTGGCTCTGTTTCTTCCGCACTCCCATTGGTTCTCAACTGCTCACTGCCTCTGGACGAAGCTCTGCAATTTCTCTCCGTCATTGTGCGCATTTCTGATCATGGCATGTCGAGGATTTTTCATTCCACGCTGATGGGTTGGGAACGCATTTTGGAGGTTCTCTCGCAGAGAATCGGCTCGGACTTCGATTGCTGTGGTGGAGATTGACCTGCATTGAGCTCGTATTGCCCTGACCCTTGACTGTCGCCACCAATTCCGAGATCATATCAAGCTTTCTGGAACATTGTTAGCATAATTGGGTTGATTCCAGAAAAGGGTTTGAGTAACTGCGAGTTTCAGTTAGTGAAGGATGTGACGCTCTGGAAGCTTGCTTGTGTTCGTGGCTTCGAGGAGTTTGTATCGCGACTAAGTTTCGTTCTCTGACTTTCAGAATTAGAAACTTATGAGTGATGGTTTTTATTAGTCCGGGGGCTTATTCTGCGCAATTTTACCTCCGTTGTTGGTTCTGAGTGGTCCTAATTTGACGATGACAAAGTTTATGATGTACTCTAAGATTTGGTTGTCAGTGCAATGTTGAGAGTCTCAGTATCGGAATTGGTGAGATGTTGGAGTGTTGAAGTCCTAATTTGCTCTTGTTCGCATGCGTGCAGCATCGTGCATTTGATCCTTCAGTGTCCCATGTACTGGGTTTCTGTTGAATTTCTGGTTTGGATTCTGAAGCGTTTGTCATTCATTCACTTTTAATATTGAACACGTGGAATCAGAAGTTTTCGTTGCTGATGAAATAATCTCTTCATCAGAATTATGGTGTTGCTTGATGGCAATGTTTTTGTCCACGAAATTGCCCACCTGCTGTTGGTCCAACGCCTTGAGTTTATTGCTGTGGTGCAGAATGGTATGCTGCAATTAGGTTTCCATCTTTCTCTGTTTTCAGCATGTGGCCAATCTCTGGTGAAACCTCAATCATGTATGGATGAAGCAACTATGTGTAAGATTGAAATACATGCTGCACAATTTAAGGGTGAAGAGAAGTAGACATTAATGTCTTTCTTAATCATGTAAATTTGCGAGTATTGACAGTGCTAGTACATGGAGAATTAGTCTGCAATTCATTGCTTGTGTGTGCACGACTTGGACGCTCACTCTACACTTTAATGCTTCCAATTGGAGTGAGCTTTGTTTATACCTTGATCTTCGTGAAGTTTCCGCCATCACACAAATTTCTCTACTTCTGCTTCGATGCATGATGTCCCCACTCCAATTGGGTATTCTAGAAATTTTGTCCATATGTGTCGTGTATTTGTGTCAACATACTGTCTCTTACATTCGCACAATTTGTGCATGTTGGTGCAGGATTGAGCAAGATCGGGAACGACTAGACCAGGTCGGTATTCTGAAGGAGTTCACGGCATTTGATTCCGTGGAAGTGTTGTTTTTTCAAGGTTTGGACATAGAGTAGACAGGTACTTTATCCTTCATTATTCTTCTGGAACTTCCAAATGTTTGGTAGTTGTGTACAATTCTATAATCTGCTCAGCTTTGTAGCAGTAATCTTTATTCTCCTACTAGAGGGAGCTGTTTTCTATACCGTTATCAAATAACATAACTATCTTACCTTTTCTGTACGCACTTCTCCTTCCGTGCAGTCAACAAATTCAGTAATGAATCCATTTCTTAACACTACATATTCTTCTAGCCTCTAAGTTCGACGGCCTTTTCGGTTGTTACTTTTTTAATTGGCAACTGTCCCAACTAGTGTTGGATCCCTATTAATCATTCATGAAGCAAGCTTATATATATATATATATATATATATATCACCTGCCTTACAAGGACTATTGGTCACGTATCTTGTGCAAGGACGATTGTTCCTCATGAGAGGTGCACAGTCACTCGCCTTCCCTGACCGTCAGTTCCATGCTAGATTCCTTCTGTGATAATAAAGAAAATCATTCAAATGTATATATGTATGTTTGTATGTATATACATACACACACACACACACACGTATGTGCGTGTATGTAGGTGGGGTTGAAGAGCAGATGGTGTCTTGCGCCGCCTTTACCATGTGCCGCATTTTGTCTTTGCCTCCATAATGAACGACGATAAGTCTTTGGTGTAAATGTGTACATACATCGGGTTTGATTTTAGGGTTGGTTCCCATACTTGTGTGCTTAAAATTAGGAATTCTCGTGGCATAACCTGGCATGGAAGTCTCAATTCTCTATAACTTATTCATGTTGATTAGAGACCGTCCTAATATCTCCTCGTGTACTTTTTCTTTCTTCGGGATCGTTCTGTCTTTGGAAGAAAGGCTTGGGGCAATCCTTACTAGTATTTTCTGTTTGTTGTCGAAAACAGGAATCAGGAACCGTGAAGAGTATGGTACTTTGGGTGTTTGGTTACGGTTCACTTTTATGGAAAGCAGGTTTCGATTACGATGAGAGGTTGGTGGGCTACATTAAGGGCTATCGCAGAGTGTTTTATCAAGGTGGGTGTTCTTTCATACACGATCGTTTAAACTGCTGCTAGGAGGATTCTAATATTTATAGCTTATGGGTTTTATCTTGAATTAACT